CTGAAAAAGTTGAACTCATAGGAACAGAGAGTAGAATGGTGGTTATCAAGGGCTGGGGGTGCTGACTGGGGAGATGCTTGTCGGAGTTAGGCAGGAGGAAGAAGTTCCAGAGATCTGCTGTATAACATGGTGATTAGAGTTAACAACATCACAGTGCAGACAGGAAAATGGTGAAGAGAATAGGTTTGAAGTGTTCTCACCACGAAAAATGGTAACTGTGTGAGGCCACGCACGTTACATAACACAGTGTGTTCATATTTGAAAAGCACTACCTTGTGCACCATAAATATATCCAATTTTTCTTTCGTTCTTTTTTTTCTTTTGAGACAGAGTCTCACTCTGTCTCCCAGTCTGGAGGGCAGTGGTGCAGTCTCAGCTCACAAACAAAAACAAAGTAGAGGGAACAGCATGAGCCTGGAGAACCTTTTCACTGCAGGGCCAGCTGGTGGGGCCACCTTTTGGGTAGATGAGAAGGTGCTGACTCCTGTGGAGTGAAATCAAGGGGCAGGGAAAAGCCCTCCCTGTGCCCTGGAAATGCCCCCGTGGCTGGAGCATCCTCCCGTTTCATGGATGCTTGCTGTTATGTGTTCCTGCAGAGCCTGCAACGATTGCTGCCCGGGGACTGGGGTGCAGTCATGTTTTATAAAACACACAGGAGCACTGAAGAGCCAGGTTGCGTGAGCTTTGGGAAAATTGTTTATCTGGTGATTCTCAACCTGTTTGGAGACTCGGGGCCAGCTTTGAGAAGCTGGTGAAGGCACATTTGCACAAGATTTTGCACACAATCCCAGAGAGTCTCAGGCCCTGTGAAACTCATCCCTAATCCCCAGATGCAGAGCTCCTGCTTTATGCTGCTGCACTTTATGCCTTAGTAAGAAAGAATGACTAAGAAGAAGGTTTAGCTGGGGTGATGGGGAGTGCAGATTTCTGCGGGGAATAGGGATGTGAGGAAGGGCTCTGAGGGAAGAAGAGGCGCAGAGAAAGGGAGCAGTGTGACCCAGGAGACCTCAGTGACCTTGACACACTGGCTCAAGGCCTAGGCTGGTCAGAACGCACGTGTCCTGAGTGACCCTGCCCCCTTTGTCAAAGACCACTGTGCGTGGGGAGAAGTTTCTGGGCATCTCCATAGGACATGCCCCGTGTGTTGGACGGACAAGCAAGCTACGTTTCTCAGCAGTAACTGCAAAAGACGATGGGGAGACAAATCATGGAGCTGTCACGAATCCTGGAACAACTTGGCCATTTCCTACAGGGTGACCCTGAGACCCAGGGCACTCGCTAAGGACACTCACCGTCTTAACTCAGTGATGAGCTGTTTTTCCTGTGTGCAGGTCTTCGCTAGGTGCTCTTACACCTCTGTCCTCACAGCAGCCCTGAAAGGAGAATGCATGGGAGGCAGTGTGGCCAGGCTGCCTGTGCAGACCACTGGCGTTCAAGTGGCATTTACCAGGGGTGAGACCTTGAGCCGATCCCTTGCCTTTCCCGAGCCTCCTCCTTCTCGTCTGTAAAACGGTAACAGCGCGCCGGCCTCTCAAGGGTGAGAGGAGGTTCGGTCAGGACGATGGCCATGAAAGCACAGTGTGGAGCTGCATCCGTTTTCTCTTGACGTGTCACAAATTACCAAAATACATACTCTTCATGATTGTAGGACTGAATTCCCTATTTTCCAGCTGGATGTCAGCCAGGGGCAACGCTCACCTCAGGGAGGCCAACCATATTCCTTGCCCCGAGGCACCTCCAGCTTCGGAGCCAGCAATGCTTCCTCATTGGATCCCTCTCGCCCTTGAGTCTCGCTGCCTTCCCTTCCTCTGACCTCTAGACCCAGATGTAGAAGGGCTCATGTGGTTAGGTCAAGCCCACAGGGATCATCCCCCTATATAAATGCCAACTGCAAAATCCCTTCCCATCAACACCCATTACTGCGTCACTGAGTAACTGACAGAAGATGTGTGTGTACCAGGACCCTGGAATTTTGGGAGCCATCTCAGAATTCTGCCTCCGTGAGGCCGATGTTATAGGATTTTTATTTGCATTTGCATTTTAAAATTTTATTAAAAATAAAAGAATTGTTATTCTTTTCAATGGCTACATCATATTCCATTTTTTAATACATGCCGCAATTTCTTTACCCATTTGTCTGTTGACGGACGCTTAGGTTGACTCCTGTTTCTTTCAGGTCAGCCAACACTTGCAGTGTTGGATTCCCTTAAGGTTTTCTTGGAGTCATGAGGTTCTTTGAAAATCAAGGCAGCGTCTTGGGTGAGGGGAACGGTCCAGTCCTGGTTGTGTCGAGCGACGGGAGAGCTGCACCCTGGTCCTGCCTCGAAGGCTCGAGAGGGCCGTGTGAAATCGTAAGGGCTTGGACCAACCTCGGAGACATGAGGAAGGAGTACTTCCCTCGAGGCTGTGGAAAGGGCTGGGACGACCTGTCCTCACTCTGTCCTTGTGCACACAGTGCATTTGCCAGCTGGCCGAGGCTCTGGCTCTCAGTGGCCGTGGAGGTGTCAACTTGGAGCCCCAGCTGGGGAATATCACAGGCGTGCTGTTCGAGCTGGTGAGTGCTGCGGGCTGGAGGCAGCCTGTCCTGGCCCTCTCTCTCTTCTTCCCCAGATCAGGTCACCACCTCCAGACGGTACAGGGGTCTTTGACATGGCGACCTTAGCTGCACACACTGCAGGCGTCTCTGAAACAGGCACATCTGAAACAGCCTGGATTCTGGGCACAGAGAGGGACGTTTTCCAGGAGGTAACTTGGATACATCCTGTGTGCTTTCTGGGGTGACAAGCCTTTGTGGCTTCCCCTGAACTCTAGGGAAAAGGCAGAAGGTTGAGGCCCTCCTTCAGCCCGTGGGAGGTGCCAGGTCTTCTGTGTTGTGGAGTAGGCAGAGGACAATTGAATATTTTACAAAAGGATGACGCCTTCTTTATATTTAATTTGATGTCCTCTGTCTTGTTCCCTCTGCAGCTGGGAATGTGGATTCCTGGGCTCCGGTTTTCTATTCTCCTTACAGCCTGGTTGCCATGCACTGCACGGCTTCATGCCTCAGTTTCCTTCTCCACATGTAGGGTCCCTGGTTTCCATCCTCCCAGGCCTGATGGCCTTGGTCTCCCTACAGATGAGTAGCAAATACTACTCAGATTGTTACTCCATGCTGAATCACAGCTCAGCTCTGAGAGCTTTCAACATACTAAGTTCATATGGTTCCCTAGCTCTGTGTGTGTGTTTGTGTGCCCACGTGTGACTCAGGACCACTTTGGTCTCTCTCTGGGCTGGAGTTGGGGCCTAGGTTCCTATGGAAAGGTGGGAATTCCATCCTCCGAGACAAGATTCGAAGTAATTAATGAGAACTTTGCCTGAAATTGAGGGAATCAGAAAGGGCATAGCCACGGCCCCACCCCACCCCTATTGTTCCCACTGCCTCACCTGGGGCTGACTCCCCTTTCTCCTGGCATGATTGCCATTTCAGAAAGGTACTCATGGCAGGACAGCACTGATGGACACCTTGCGCTGCCTGTGGGCAGGTATGTGGGGCAGGAGGTGGACTTGGCACATGCTTGGCACATGGCAAGTGCTGGGTGGACCTGGTTCTCTTTCTCTTTCTTTTGTCCAATTCATGGTCAGTGGTTTGCTGTGAGCATGATTTAAGCCTGGGTATTACCTGCCGTTTAAACATACCCCTGACTGCCCTGTATTCATACCCTTTTTACAGCCAGGTTATACGGCGGCGATCAGCTGGTGATTTTGCTGCAAAACATCATCAAACCCGAGGAACCTGCCAAGGCAGTGGCAGCCCTGCAAGTCTTCAGGGATGTGTCCTGCAGAGGTGAGTGGCAATGGGGCACAGTCCTGGGTTCTAGGACTCCATCGTTCCTAGGGAAATCTGCTTTCTCTGGAGACAGTCCGGTATAGTAGTTAGAAGCACGATTTTAAATGCAGAGTCATCTCAGTGGGTTCGGATCTTGGCTGTGCTTCTCACTAGCAATGTGAACTAGGGCAAATGACTTTTAGGCTGTGCCTCTACTTCTTCATTGGAAAAACAGAAGTAAAAATAATTGTTCCCTTTAGGGATTTTTAGTGAGGGTGGAGTGAGTAAATGTGAGGTGCCGAGAACAGGGCCTGCTCTGGAATGGTTTCAGAGTGGTTTATCTGTGATTACTGCCTGGAAGAGCAGGCTTCGCCTCCAATCAGGCGTGGACGTCAACCTTTCGCTGTGTGCTAAGCACTGTGCCAGGCATGGAGAACACACACAGAGAAGACAGCCCCTGCCCTCAGCGAGCTCCCTGTAGGGTGGGGAGGGTGAGGCTGTCCACACGGTGAGACAGTGCAGGACAACATGCTCTGGGCTGCTTAGATGGGAGTGACGATGCTGACAGGAAGGCAAGCAGGGGGAGGTCAGGGAAGCTGGGGTGGACTTTACAGAGGGGACGGGCCAAAAGCAAGGAGGAGCCTGTGACCATGGGTCGGGACAAGGAGGCCACAGGGGAGAGGAGCAACAGCCGAGGTTGGAAAGATTGAGATGGACAGACAGTGGAGAGGACAGCTTGTCTGGAGAGGCGGATTTGTGTGGGCAGTCGTGGAGGCCGGCGAGGGATGGGGCTAGAATGCCCTCCTGTGGAAAGTACCAGCCAGGCTTGTGGGTTTCAGTGTGGTTGGAGGCGCAGGGATGGCTGAGATGCCTGTGGAGACTCCACCTGGCCTTTGATGGCCAGGACTGTACCTGGCGTTCCTCCCGCCCGGCTGTCCTCCGATGTCTCCCCAGGCAGCAGAGGCGGGGAGGAGGAGGCTGACCTTCGGCTGCATGCCTGTGTTTTCTCTAGTGCCCCAGATGGAGACCTTGAAGCAGGAGGTGATGAGTTCAGTGGTTCTGCTGATACAGAAAAATCCGAGACCTGTGAGTGCAGAGGCCGTGTGTTTGTGCTGGGAGGGCAACTGCTTTCTTGAGACCCTGATGTCATGTAAATGGAGAGGGGAGGCAGATAGGGAATGAGTAGGAAGGCATCCTCACCAAGCTAATTCGGGCTGAGACCCCTGCCCTTCTGTTCCGTTTGGGTTCTTTAAAACCAGAGAAGAGTTTGAGAAGTGGAGAGGTGGTGCCTACCTGCCCTCTTCTGAGCCTGTTCTGTGGGCAACACTGTTGTGTCCTCAGGGGAGACACGGAGCTCCAAATGACACTGACTTAGGCCCCAAGAACCCTGGGAGGAGAAAGCCTTGCGCTTCATGGCTGGAGCGGGGCCTGAGAAGCTGTATTTTTAACAAGCCCTGCAGTCAGGGGTGCAGGCAGCAGAAACTCCCAGGTCTGGATGGTGTAGGACAGTGCGTTGGGATGGCTGCAGCAGGGCCTACTAGTTTTGAGTGTTAAATAGAGAACAATGCATCAGCCTGAAAAACAAGGGCCCAGTTCCCAGAAGGGTCACAGGAGGCTGGGCCCTCAGGACTTGCCAGATTGGTTCCTGGCTTTCCCCACAAAGGCCAAAACTTGAGACCTTTCCTTTACTTGGATTCCCCTCCACCAACACTCCTGCCAATTTCAGTGTCTGCGGCACACAAAGTGTGGGAAGTCAGTGCTTGGAGTTCTCCAGGAGGACGACGGGGCTGGAGTGGGTGGGAACCTCAGAGCAGAGGACGGAAGTGGGCAGGTCCAGTCACGGGTGGTCTGTCACAGCCACAGCGCCCACTGAAGGGTCACAGTGGACTTGGAGTCAGGAGGCCCGAGGTCCTTGAAGACCTCCCTGACCTGCTCTGGTCCACTGTGGGCTCACCTGGAACAGGAAGCCATCCTGCAGCCGTTTCCTGTCACGCGTGTGATGGTCTGTGACCCAAAGGGTACGCACGCCCCTGCTGAGCTTTGTCGAGATTCTGGGGCAGCACAGCTACTTGACCCTGCCCCAGGGGAACACCATCAGCCACCACCTTATTAGGCTCAGCCAACCGGAGCCCTCAGTGAGCAGGACCTGGTGCAAGTGAGGGGACCGAGGGTGGAGCGAGCCAGGGGCAAGGGACAGAGAAGGGCAGGGGTGGGAGCAGAGACACAGAATAGGGGCCTGGCTGGCCTGACAGGGAGGTGCTTTGGCATCCACACCCCTCATCAGTGGGCCGGGGCCACCATTCCAGGCCTGATGCCAGATATGGAGGGAGGAGGGAGGGTTGAGGGTCACGGGGGTCCTAGGAAGAGGCGCCCCAGGCCGACGGGCTTGGAGGGGGGCCCTGGGCACATAGTGGTGGGACTGGAACATGGGGAGGGAGAGGAAATGGTGAGGGCCTGGTTGTCTCCTCTGTGTGGCCTTGTTGTGAGCTTCTCTCTGTTGACCTGGGACAAATCCCCCAGCCTTTCTGGACCTCCTTTTCTCAGCAAGTATGTTTTGAGTTTCTTAATTTTCCCAGTGCTGTGACAGACATAAAGGACATGTGGAGAGACAGGATGTACACCTGACTTTGAGGGGTTCACAGTGCTAGGGAGGGAGACAAACCTGGAAGTGACCTCACCACCCATAGTTAAAGGTGACAGAGGTACTAACAGGTGCAATGGGATCTTAGCAGAGCAGTGGATAACTTGGCCTGCAGGAGTCACAGAGGGCATCAGAGAGGAGGTGGCATCTGAGGGCATTTGGGCAACTTGTTCAGCAGGTGGAAAAGAATGGGAGGGCTCAGTTTCGGCTCTACCATTCTTTGGGTTTGTTCTCATTTTCTTCTTTGCCTTCATTCTTCTCTGCCTCCCGTTTGCTTCTCTGGCTGTTCAGTTGTTCTCCCTGAAGGGCTACAGAGAAAAGGCATTTGGAAAAAATGCCCTAAGGCTGTTATAAGCCCCGCATCCCATCGCCTCCCCGCACCTGTCGTCAATCGAATGTGGGCCCGCTGTGGATGTGGGAGGTCCCCCAGATGTTGCAGATCCTGGATGGTGAGGGCTTGCTTGAAAGGGAGGAGGAGTGGGGCTGGGCTCTGGGGCCGACTGTGGAAGGGATGGAGTTCCAAGCTGAGGGATGGACTTTCCTCTGGGTGAGGACGGGAGCAGCCTCCCTGTCCCTCTGGAGTGTCATCTGGGTGGATCTGCTCATGTGGGCCATGCTGTATGCTGGGCAGACGTGCACTCCAGTCCTGTGGCTCCCGTCTCTTCTTGCGGATGGAGGACCCGGGAAGATTGTGGGCTTTGAACCAGACACAGCCGTGTCTGGCCCCTGCCTATCCCTTGGCCTCCAGCATCCCTCTCTGTAATATGAAGTCCCCTCTCCTCAGTGGCGTTCCTGCTCGGCTCTCTGGTCTCACCTCTGTCTCATCCCGGATCTTAGGAAGTTCCTGTCGCTCTTGGAGCTGGATGGCAGAACAGAGCTGCTGCTCACCTGCTACTGGAGTGTGCTCTGCCTGCCCCCATCAGAGGCGATGCAGAAGGAGGTGTGCAGACCCACAGAGGGACAGGCCAGTGTGGTAATGAGCTCTTTGAAGGCTGTCAACTGTTGTTGTTTTTGAGAGGGTAGAGGTTGTAGGCTTGACAGTTTTATGTAAGGCTTTCTTGTCATCTCTAAGAAAAACAAAAAGGAAGGTCTCATTGGAGGAAGGGGCTGCTAGGTGAGGCAGCCTCACCTCCACCCAGGAGATTATCATTCTTCCGCAGGGCACTCATTGGTGATCACTGTCCCCCTGGAATCTTCTGGCTCAAAGGTGGACACTGACGCCCTCCCTTTATTTATTTCATTGCTATTATTATTATTATTGAGATGGAGTCTCACTCTGTCGCCCAGGCTGGAGTGCAGTGGTGCAGTCTTGGCTCACTGCAATCTCCGCCTCCCGGGTTCAAGCGATTCTCCTGTGTCAGCCTCCTGAGTAGCTGGGACTACAGGCGTGCACCACCACGCCCAGCTAATTTTTTGTATTTTTAGTAAAGACAGGGTTTCACCGTGTTGGCCAGAATGGTCTCGATCTCCTGACCTCATGGTCTGCCCACCTTGGCCTCCCAAAGTGCTGGGATTACAGGTGTGAGCCTCCGCGCCCGGCTGACTCTCTCCCTTTATAGCTGTGGTACAGCTGAATCCAGGCTGGAAGGTGCAGACATGACTTTCCTCAAGGCCTATGGGTGAGCCACTGCAGGGAGCCCAGGGGTAGGAGTCTGAGTCCCTGTCCTGCAGGGCCACCAGGGTTTCCTGGAGGGAGGGCGGGGGGTTCGTGTCTTCATCTGCATTCTTTGGTTTTTCTCTTAGGAACTCTTTCCCAATCTCTGAGTATTCCTTTATCTTGACTGGTTGTTCTCATTTTATTGATGCCATAGTTGCTTGGATTTCTTTGAGGATATTAAGAATAATTTTTTCGAGACAGAATATTCTGCTATCTATGAAAGTTTGGTTTCTTGGGGACTGTTGGCTTCGTGTGGTTCTGGTGGTGGTGGGTGGGCGTTTGACAGGGCTTCCTCATATTTGAGGCAGGCTGGGAATCCCGGCTGCCCAGCAAGATTGGCTTTAGTCTTGAGTTGGGTTTCTTTTGAGGACTTCATTCTACAGAGTGCGGCCTTTCCTTTTCTTTCACGCTTCCTGCCACTTTTGAGGCCCACAAGTATCTTGAAGGAGACCTTCCAGGCATATCACCTACTTTCTTGATAAGGTTTTGGTTTAAAGGCAAATACTCACTTTTTCTGGGCAGGTCCATATTATTCATGAAAGGGCAAGTGGGAGAAATGCCTTGTCCTGGAGATTGTGATTGCCCCGCAGATGGCCAGGCCAGCCCTCTTTCTTCCCTGGTGCCAGCGACCTCCTAGTCATTTCTACTGACCCAAGCAGCACGCACCACGAGCAGAGCCCCAGAATGAGCACAGCCTAGGGTATGGGAATACAGGGCTGGGGGAAGCCCAGGCAGACTTTTGTGCTCTTGTACAAAAAACAGAGGACTCCATTCAAGTTCACAGAGGGAAGGCAGCACTTGGAAATGTAGCGGGCAAGTTGCAGGGCAGAATTTAGCAGGGAAGCCTTCCTGGGGGAGAGAGAGAGCCCAGTAGAGTTTAGGAGGAGGGAGGGGGAATATTGGGGCAATACTCTTTGAGTCCCTCTTTCCTCTTCAGTCACTGTTCGGGAAGTCCCCGAACCGTGGTCTCTCTGCAGGCTGGTGGGAGCTCCCAGAACCGAGACACACGGATCCAGGCCTGCTTGGAGTTCAGTGGGATAAGGTCCTTGAAAGTCGTGCATTGGGTTCCTAGGGTTCTCATAATAACGCGCCATAGCTGGCTGGCTTTAAACATCGGGTGTTCATTGTCTCAGTTGTGAAGGCTAGAAGTTCAAAGCCAAGGTGTTGTCAGGGGGAGTCCTACTGGAGGCTCTGAGGCGGATCAGCTGCTTGGCTGTCTCCTGGCTTCTGCCGGTTCCTGGCACCCTCTGTTCTGGGCCTTGGAGACACGTCACTCAAAGCTCTGCCTCCATTTTCACAGGGCGCATTCGCGTGTGTGTGATGTGTGTGTGTGATGTGTGTGTGTGATGTGTGTGTG